AGAAAAGATATAAAACACCAGTCAAAAAATGCACCTCTTTTGTTTCAATTTTATCAGCCTTATATAAAAGGACAGAAAAGCTAAATTGCGTGACAAAAATATTAATTAATTTGAGAGTGAATTTCATTTTGGTCGGTCAATTTTTAATTTTTCTTTTCTGAGTTTCATCTCATTCTTTTATGATTTATTTGGCCAAAACTTTTAAGCACTGCCTAAAAAAAGGTCATAAAAAGTTTTAAAAAGGTCATCTTGCAAGAAATTTGAAAATCCTACTTCAAGGAGATCATAGATCCGCCCCTGTCAGAATCACACTTTCTTTCAAATACTTTCAGAAAATTCGCTAGAAGTCAAAATTTGACTCAATAAAAAAATCACATGAAGCATTAATAATCCGTCTTTTTCTACGAATGTCGGAAAAAAGTTTTGAAGCTGATATATTCTTCAAAGATTAGCATTTAATTAGAAAACTACATTTTACTAGAAAAAATAATAAAACTAAGCAAAAGCGGATTCGACCCCCTGCCTAGATCCACGCCTGAAACTAAGTCCTTTTACAAGACTAGATGAACAACATTGGGTCGCTTATTTGATTAATTAACTTTAACAGAATTAACTTGAGCTTTCTCTGCCAAATACTTCGTTTAACCATTTCAATTGCCAAATCACGTTGGTAATTAGCGTTTTCCTATTTTAATTCTTGTGTAGTGTGATAAGAGCCCGGGTTGAAAAGATACTATCATACAACCAATTTCCCTAATTGGAAAAAACAGCTAGTCAAACAATTTTGTGAGTACAGATTTTTATAAGTGCAGAAAATTAGATGAAACTTTGTCGACTACTAAGGTTTCATATGTGAAAGTTGTATGACTAAATTTTTTCCATAAACCACAAAGTTTGAGTCACGAAAAGGCATGAGTCACCAAAGTGCGTGAGTCATTAAAGGGCATGGGTCACCAAAAGGCATGCGTCACCAAAGGGCATGAGTCACCAAAGGGCATGAATGCACCAAGCTTGAGTCACCGAAAGGCATGAGCCACCAAGGTGCATGCGTCACCAAATTGAACGAAATTGAAGTAATTATTATTCCGCCTTTCGATACGAAAGCAGCGGAATATTTTTGCTCGGTTTTTTTTCTTCAGACACATTTTGACTTTTTAACTAGCCATTTTTGACGAAGTTTTTTTTATAATTCAAAAGGTAATGTTGTTGAGCTCAATTTCGAAAAAATATTTCACCTGTGATCGTTTTTCGTAAGGTTATGGGGAATTCATGATTGCCATTTAAGCCAATTTGAGACAATTAACGCGCAATAAATTTTGCGCTATAAACGCGTAAACGGAGATTTAATCCGTCATAGAAATCGTTCCAAATTGGTTGAAGGATGCTTATTTTCCATAATTGTTTTGTTACAAGGAGTGAAATCTATTCTTTTGTACTTGATATGGCGGGTGGCGGGATTGATTATAGCGAAAACGGCAAATTGTGTGTATCCAGGACCTTTGTGTACCTTTGTGTATCCAGGACTAAGTTAGGCGAACAAGAAAAAAAATTATAATTGTTTTTCTTGAGTACGAAAAAGATTAAAAATGCAATTGGGGCATTTTAAAAATACTCTTTTGTTTATTGGTGTCGCCATCAAAAAAATGCTAGCCATACAATTTGTATTTATGGAAATTGTGTGATTAGCTTGTTTTTGCCAAAAAAAAGTTCTTTTCATGTATAATGCACCGACTTATTACGTATAATACACTGAACTCCCTGCCAAAACCACGGAAAGCTTTTTTAGTAATTCTTTTGCGTCAACTTTGCATTAAAAGGATATGAAAATTAACCGGCATCCAGTTTCAAGCGTTAATAATTGACTATATTACAATTTTAGTACCAGTCTTACTAAAAATGAGAAACAATCGATTTTAATCAATTATTAATTGAATATTATCTCTCTTTTTAAAATCGAATTATAAATAATTATAATCAATTATAATCAATTATAATCAATTATAATCAATTATAATCGATTAATTATTCGTCTATTTTTTGATACAATTATAATCCATTATAATTGATTATAATCCATTTTTTTTAATTCAAATTTCTAGTTCATTAGTTTTGCTCAAAGATCCATTGTAATCGATTATAATTGATTATAATCCCTTTTGTTTGTCCATTTTGTCTTCGAAATTGCATCTAAATTGCTTATATTTTATGCTTTTTGTAGATGTTGGTTTCTATGAAAATAAAGGAAAATATATTTAAAGTTTTCCAATTAATTCAAATTTATAAGTTTTTTTTTCATTTCTTCCCAATTAGAGTTGTTTTGTGATGCATATTTTAAGCTTTTTTAAACAACAAAACATCAGCCAATTAATTTAGTTTCATGATTTATTTTCATTTACCGCTGGAACCTTTCCACTCATATGAAAGGATCTCTATGAAACTTTTGTTTCGTGGTAAAACTTTGTGTTCAGATGAACCAAAGTATTCTATAGATCTCTCTTTTAGTTTGAGTCACGAAAAGGCATGAGTCACCAAAGTGCGTGAGTCATTAAAGGGCATGGGTCACCAAAAGGCATGCGTCACCAAAGGGCATGAGTCACCAAAGGGCATGAATGCACCAAGCTTGAGTCACCGAAAGGCATGAGCCACCAAAGTGCATGCGTCACCAAATTGAACGAAATTGAAGTAATTATTATTCCGCCTTTCGATACGAAAGCAGCGGAATATTTTTGCTCGGTTTTTTTTCTTCAGACACATTTTGACTTTTTAACTAGCCATTTTTGACGAAGTTTTTTATATAATTCAAAAGGTAATGTTGTTCAGCTCAATTTCGAAAAAATATTTCACCTGTGATCGTTTTTCGTAAGGTTATGGGGAATTCATGATTGCCATTTAAGCCAATTTGAGACAATTAACGCGCAATATATTTTGCGCTATAAACGCGTAAACGGAGATTTAATCCGTCATAGAAATCGTTCCAAATTGGTTGAAGGATGCTTATTTTCCATAATTGTTTTGTTACAAGGAGTGAAATCTATTCTTTTGTACTTGATATGGCGGGTGGCGGGATTGATTATAGCGAAAACGGCAAATTGTGTGTATCCAGGACCTTTGTGTACCTTTGTGTATCCAGGACTAAGTTAGGCGAACAAGAAAAAAAATTTTAATTGTTTTTCTTGAGTACGAAAAAGATTAAAAATGCAATTGGGGCATTTTAAAAATACTCTTTTGTTTATTGGTGTCGCCATCAAAAAAATGCTAGCCATACAGTTTGTATTTATGGAAATTGTGTGATTAGCTTGTTTTTGCCAAAAAAAAGTTCTTTTCATGTATAATGCACCGACTTATTACGTATAATACACTGAACTCCCTGCCAAAACCACGGAAAGCTTTTTTAGTAATTCTTTTGCGTCAACTTTGCATTAAAAGGATATGAAAATTAACCGGCATCCAGTTTCAAGCGTTAATAATTGACTATATTACAATTTTAGTACCAGTCTTACTAAAAATGAGAAACAATCGATTTTAATCAATTATTAATTGAATATTATCTCTCTTTTTAAAATCGAATTATAAATAATTATAATCAATTATAATCAATTATAATCGATTAATTATTCGTCTATTTTTTGATACAATTATAATCCATTATAATTGATTATAATCCATTTTTTTTTAATTCAAATTTCTAGTTCATTAGTTTTGCTCAAAGATCCATTGTAATCGATTATAATTGATTATAATCCCTTTTGTTTGTCCATTTTGTCTTCGAAATTGCATCTAAATTGCTTATATTTTATGCTTTTTGTAGATGTTGGTTTCTATGAAAATAAAGAAAAATATATTTAAAGTTTTCCAATTAATTCAAATTTATAAGTTTTTTTTCATTTCTTCCCAATTAGAGTTGTTTTGTGATGCATATTTTAAGCTTTTTTAAACAACAAAACATCAGCCAATTAATTTAGTTTCATGATTTATTTTCATTTACCGCTGGAACCTTTCCACTCATATGAAAGGATCTCTATGAAACTTTTGTTTCGTGGTAAAACTTTGTGTTCAGATGAACCAAAGTATTCTATAGATCTCTCTTTTAGAGATGTTCTTATTGACACAAAATCATTAACCAATAAGATAGAATTCGCATATTGTTTTGGTTTGACAAAATTTTGGCAAAATAAGAAATTATAATCGATTATAATCGATTATAATTGATTTTAAGGGTTTTTTGTAACAACTATAATCAATTATAATCGATTATAAGAGATTATAGTCTCTTGGAAAATATCACGATTATAATCAATTATAAATCCTTTAACCACCTAATTTTGGTAATTATAATCGATTATAATCGTCAAAAAATCATCATAATAATCCGTTATAATCGATTACTTACGCCTAAACTTGGATGCGGGAAATTACTAGTAGTTCAGGGTCTATGGAGGTCAACGCAAGATGTTGGTTTGATACCAAGACTTACTCTCCTTGTGACCAAATGCATATTTTTGCCTGCTGCATTAATGAACAGTGAGATTAATATGAAATGACATTCAATAATATAACTGTATAAGCTCCTGTAAAATCTGAAACCCGATAATCTCGTTAGAATCAGAAATACAGGCTGTGGAAAAATGTCACTTAAATTGACTTAAAACAAAAGAAAAAAAATAAGTTGGAAGTAAAACCTTGAAAAAGTTTTGCAAGATGTTCAAAATTAATTACCAATCGAAAGCTCTCCAATTAACTTAAATCACCTTTCTTAACAAAAAATGTCAGCAAAATTATAATTTTTTTACATTTTTTTTGAACACCTAAATCACCATTTTTTATAACAAAATGACAGCAAAATTATAAATTTTTTTAGAATTTTTTTTTTAAAATATTGACTTGCATTTTTAACGCAGCACCCCATCAAATGAAGCAAAAATTGATAGACCAGTTGCGTCTCGAGAAACTCTACAATTAAATGGCTAAACCTAACCGCCAATTTTGAAGTAAATACTTACAGAAGAGGCCAAGTGTTGCGTAATAAAACAAAAACGATATTAGAGGTTGTCTAATTCGACTTCCTCGATATTTGTTAGCAGAGCTGCATTCAATTAGTTGCAACCTCAAGTTTAATAATAATAGTAATATAGTAATATAGAACTGGTTTCGTATAATACCTTTTTCATTGTAGCTCTAATGAAATTTGAGATTAAATTAGAAAGCTCCTTGTTTTACTAAAATTGGTATAATGCAGTCAAAAGGCGCCAAAAAAGGAAACGTCGACTGAAGTTGAGATTTCTGATTCAGACAGGAAAACATGAAAGGTGAACAAATTTGAACCACTTAGCCCAACTAAAAGGCGCCCCAAAATTCCTACCTTTGACTTTTGTCAATAGAAAAATCAACCAGTAAATGGGAAAGAATCACTTCAAATGACATGTAATTACGTAATCGCTGGAAAATTTGAAAAAACAGAAGAAAAAACGCCCAAAGATATTTGTAATTACCCGTGAAAGAAAAATTGAATGATCTTAATGACATAAAGATTGGCAGCAAAATTGATAGATTTTCAGAAACTTATGGCAGAATTGATAAATGAGCTGAACTCTAAAAAGTAATATAAGTTTTTTGTAGGAATCAGTTTGAACTTATTAGATAGATACTATCAACGTGAACTTTTTTGCCATAGTTCACGTTTATGTATATAGTTCTGATAACTGAAAAAAAAAACTCCGGTAAATCAGTTTTTTTTTGTTCACAAAAAAATACTGCCCACTTTTTTGTTCACAAAAAAATACTGCACCATTTTTTTGTTTCATAGCAAAAAGTCGGGTTCAATCGATTATCTCCATTAGTAAATTTAATTTTGAAAATCAGGATAAATTTAATGAAAGTTCCTTTCCAATCAACAGACAAGGACATGAAAAGAATTTCCAAATTTAATTCCGGTTTATTCAATTTAGAAGGCTCGAAGCGTTAATTTGATGCCATTGTAGCAATTCGAGGTAAAGTTTAAATCTTTCTGACAACATCTGTGACGAAATAGGAAATTTGTCGCAAAACTGAAATATGTGGTTATTGTTATGTAAACGCTGCTCTGGGCTTAACTCAAGGCTGGTGCGAGATCATTTTGAATTAATTTCGTAATAAAACTTCATTAACAGGGTCATAAAGCTCAAGGGTAAGTGTGACGAAACAAAAGTTCAACCGTCACTGAATCATTTTACGGTCGATTAAAAACGGCATTTGAAAACGAAAATTGGCCGAAGAAGAAAAACTAATGAGCAGATTTATGAGACAAGCTATTATGTGCACCAAAAAAGATGTTCTAAATTGAATTTTCAATTAAAGGTCTATGACTCGCATTTTTTTGATGGCCGCAGCAAAAATTTCTCCAAGTAATATCGAAGCTGCACCAAAAAAAGCTGCTTTTTTTTCAATCGCCAAACGAATTTTGTACTTTTGTACTCGAGAAATCATTTTTCTAAAAAAAAATTTCTTGCATGCAAAATATAGTTTTTTTTGTGTGCATAACATAATCATGGATGCACAAAAGTTGTTTTTTAGTTCCATTTCTCAAGATGTTTCAAAATACTGATATCAGAAAGTTTTGAGATGAGAAATTTAAAAGATAATAATATACTAATATATTTTCCATATAATATATAGTTTCCATATATTAAAAATCAGAAATGAAAAATCTTCCATGCATTTTTTTGTACTTATGGAGTTGCATGAAAAGTTAATGATTACCACTTTTCCATGTATATGAAAGTTGTAAGATGACAGTTTCGGATTTTCGGTCAATCCGGGCTAGGTTTATCCCGCCATAGAAAAAAAAACACAAAAAGTCATTCCAGTGCTTGTTTTAATTAAGAGAGAAAATTGAATCTGGACTAACTTATAATCTTAATTACAAATTTGGATGCGTATTTTCCGGTTTCTTTTTGAGAATGAAACATTTTTTCGATAAAAAGACCACCGAAAAATTTTATTTTTAGTTTTAACTTTTTTCGTTATGCTACTATAGTTTAAATATAGTTTAAATATTTAAAAAATAGATTGAGTGGTTTTTTTCATTAAAAAAACCATCTTGTTTACAGTAAAGTGCTTTCAATCAACAAACACTCTGTAAAACACGTTTCAAAATATGTAACTCCGATGAATCTTAAGGACATACAGCTTATCTCTTTTTTTCTCATGTGTACAAACTGTATAGTAAGCTTCCGTTTTGTTGTCGAAAAAGCTGTGATATCATAATTTTAAACAAAAATGGTTTAAAAAACGCTACAAGAAACCGTCTGAAAATTACATTCGGAAGCATGTTTTCATAAATTTTTTGCCTGATTTACTTTTGTTTTTTTTTTGTATATGGAGTTTCAAATAGAAACATTAGCTTTTAAAAAAAAACAACATCGAAAGGTTGTTAGGTTCATGCAAAACAACAGTGGCAAAGTTTCATTCAATAACAGTTTGATTAGAACTACCTCTTCCAATAATATTTTACGCAGATAGTTTTTGTCTTCTAAGATCGAATAATTTTTTAAAGAAAAATTTAATAAAACTCTTAGGGGCAATTTGAAAAATCGTTTTTTATTCAAATTTGTCAGCGAAAACAAATAAGGCAGACTTTGAAATGAAAATTGATTTTACGAGTTCTGTGTACATCCTTTTCTTTCAAAATTTCAATTTTTAAAAGTTTGGGCCTGCATTTCAACAATTTTGTGTTTATCTCGCCATATATAAGGTAAAAGCAAATTTTACATCACACAAAAACGACCACACAAAAAATTTAGCACTCGAATTTGATTTTTTGACTTTGTTTGTTTTTCCTTCTCAATTTTTTTTTTCATTAATTTTTTTTTTGACAAAACTAAGTTAAACACGTTCAGACCACAAAATTTCCGTTTCTAGTGAGTTTTTCAAAAAAGGGTTAAAAGGTTAATTTAAAATTTAGAAAAAATTTAACGATTTTTTCGTTTTTGAACTTTTGAAGATGACTTTTTATTAACTAGATAACAAAATTTTTGTTAATAACTTTTTTCATCCCAAAAAAAAAATCATTTTTTTACGAGGAAGCTTCAGTGATGACGACAACAAAAAAAAGCTAATTTAAATATTTAAAACAATTTTACACACTTTTTAAGCATTCTTCCTAAATTTCATTACACAAAACTCTATGATAAATGTTTATATTGCATGATATTCAACCTGAATTTGAATTTTTCTATGTGTTTTTGAAAAAAAAAAGATTAGAAGTATTTTAAACAAATGCAAGAAAAAACTGTTATCCTTGAAAATTTGTTTGCAAGAGCGGCTTACTTTTCCTCATCGAAAATACTTTGTTCAAAAGTACCTGATCCAAAAGTGGGTCGGCCATTTAGAGTATTGACATTCTCAATCATTTAACAAATTGTTTTTAAGGGGATGAAAAATGCCTTACGAATGTTGTTTAAACAAATTCAAAATGATCTTGATTTTATGAAGCACATTCAGTTCAGTGAAAACTGAGGTTGAGTTTTGATTATCTTTTCCAAAAGTGTTTTTTTGCAACCAAAGCTATATTGGATGCTATTTAATTTTACGCGGTTCCATTTTAAAAAAATACGAGGAAAATACCTGATATCATCAACCTTTCAAAAAAATTTTCAAGTTAGTTAAGCTAAAGCGTGTAGCCAAGTTTTGCTTTCAGCCTGTTCAAACTTTGAAAATTAGAAGTTTTTCTCAAAAAATCTTATCTGAACAAAACTGTTCCAAAATTGTTTGTAATAGACATGATGCACAAACTATCGGCGCTCTTCCCTCAAATTTATTCATATTGGCGCCAAATGTGCCTTTAGAATTTTTTTAAGGTTTGTTAGCAAAATTAGATGTCGTAAAGTTATACCAAAGGGGAGGTGCGGATCTAGGATTTTCAAACATCGCGTTTTTTTGGCGCGCGCTCCCCCTCAAAAATCGCATAAAGGCGCCTTTAGAAACTTTTTTAGGGTCCGTCACCAATTCTGATTATCTCAAAATAGTACAAAAGGAGGACCCTTTGGGTCGGCAGGGGGTCGAGTCCTTGAGGGGGAGGGGAAAGGAAAAGTCCAAACCCCACCCCCCCCCCCCCCTAAATCCGCCCCTGCCACAATGGGTACCCTGAGGAAAATTCTGGCAGCCAGAATTGAAGAAGCGAGCGGTCGCTGTGCACAAAGTAGTTATTCAATTTATGATGAAAAAGAACACTTACTTTCATGCGATTCTTGATAACTGATGATACTGAAATAAATCTGAAAAGAGTTTTTGCGAGTGCTCAAGTTGTAAATTTAGTTTGAAAAAGTAACTTCTCGCTCCCCGAAGACAGCAGGTATCTCTTAACTCTTTTTGGCATCAACTGCTCTGAATTATTGATTACTATTGTGACAGTTACTTTTACAATGTTGCGTTATCAATAAAACTCAGATCAATTTACATTAAAGTCCGTCGCCATCTGACAGAATAAATTAAAATCTGTGTTTCTCTCTCTCTCTCTCTCTCTCTCTTTCAAATGACGCGACCTACTTTGAACGAACAAGAAAAGAAATTTTCAGAAGAGCTCTTAATATGCTGCAAAAATGGCCGCAGGGTAAAATACAGAATCAAAGGACTCGACTGTTTCGATTAAAGTACTGTCTGAGAATAGTCAAACCAGGCAATTTTTGGGATCTTTTTGGAACCAGGCTACCAGAAATTGAGTGCATTTTTCTGATGCCGAGGGTCGCGCAATTTTCAATTCCAGAGAAGTAGTTCAAATTGAGAACTTTGGTCGACCCCAATTTAAATTCCAATTTCTGCTGTCAAATTTCAATCAAAGAATCCTTGTAAACCTATCCGCAATTCTTGGATCAATTTCTTGTGTCCTTGCAAAACCTATTCAAATATATTGCCTGCCTATATTTAGCATAAAGTATAAAAACCTAATCAAAATCAGTCTTGGAACCAAAAAAAAACAAAATTACAAGCTGAAGAGGTATTAATATTAGGGAAGGAAAACTAATTCGGAGACTTAATAAGTCTAAGTCAAGGTATGAAAAAAAAATAATTCATTGAGTTTCAATGGTATGAACAAAATAAACATTTCAGAAATCTTCTCCTCAAAATTCATAGTAGCAATTTAATTCCCAATAAATTGATCTCACTTCGAAACA